CTTCAGTTCAAACGCAGGTCGATTTGGCTCATTCCTAGATGCATCCTTCTTATCTGCAAAGTATAACTTTAGTACACTAACATGAAAGACCTTGTGGATTTTACACCATGAAGAAAGTTCAACTCTGTATGCGATTCTTCCAATCCTCTTCATGATGGGTAATGGTCCAATGTATTTTGACACCAATCTTGAGTCCTTTCCTCTTGTTGGTTTGTAAACATTTCTGTTGAGAAGCTTAACCATTACCAGTCTCCAACATTGAATTCAAAGAAATGGTGCTTTAGATCTACAGACTTTGTATACCATTTTTGAGCTTTCTCAAGATAACTCCAATTTCAATATTTCTTTTGCACTCTTGAGAAAAGTTCTTCGCTTGAGGAGACTTGGTACTTCGTTCGATATTCATTGTATGAGAAAGTAACGGTTGTTGGCTAGTAACAATCTCAAAAGGACTCTTATTGTGGAAGAGCTCTTTTAGTCATTGAAGCAAATCTGAGTCGCATCCAAAAGTTTTACCTATTTTTTCTGTGAAGTAGAGATAAAGTACCGAAGATACTCTTCTAGCATAGAATTGAAGCGCTCCATCTGTCCGTCAGATTGTGTGTGAAGACTAAAATTCATGCTCAAAGTTGAACCAAGAAGTTTGAACAACTCAGTCCAAAATATACCAGTGAAACGAGGATCTCGGTCACTGATGATGCCCTTAGGCAGTCCCTAATATTTGACAATATGTTTGAAGAAGAGTTGAGCTGTCTTTTCCACGGATACATACTTAGGTGATACAATGAAAGTTGCGTATTTTGATAGACGGTCCACCACGACGATGATAGTGCCAAAATTATCAACTTTTGACAACCTAGTAATGTAGTCCATCGATACACTTTCGAATGGTCGGGTTGGGACGAAAAGGGGCTCCAACAAGCCCGCATTTTTCTGATGATCTGTCTTATCTTGTTGACAAATAAGATAGGTTTTTACATAGGTTACAATATTGTCTTGCATTTAAGGTAAGTAGTATGCACGTTGCAGTGGTGCACAAGTGCGTTCTTCTCCGAGATGCCTGCCCAAATCGTGTTGTAGTATTCCGTAATTAGTGATTTCCTCAAATCTCCACCCTTAAGAATATATAGGCAGTCTCCCTTTATCTTCACGAGTTTCCCATCGAGCCAAAACTAACAACTCTTACCCTGCTTGATGAGGTTGACTAAATATTGAGTAGTCGGCTCCTTCTCCATAAGTGTCCGAATTTGATCTCTTGTGTTCGTGGTGATGGCACTCCCTGAAAGAGTAGCCATGGAGCAAACGACAGCCAAATCGGTCCGTCGACTAAAAGTATCGACAACATGATTACTAGACCCGGGATGATACTCTAGTATAAAATTGAACTCTGAAAGAAATTCCTGCCAACAAGCCTGCTTGCTCGATAGTTTTGGTTGTGACATGAAGTGACCAACCGCAGTGTTATCTATCCTCACAATGAATGGAGATCCAAGCAAATAGTGATTTCATCATCTGAGACAATGGACTACTGCCAACAATTCCTTTTCATGCATCGAGTAACGACGTTCTGCTTGCTTTAACTTTCGGCTCTCATATGCTACCGGATGTTCTTCTTGCATAAGGACTCCACCAAGTACAAAATCTAAAGCATCTGTATGAACTTCAAATGGTTTAGTCATATCCGATAAAGCTAAAATTGGGTTCGTCTACATGGGCTTCTTCAACCTTTCATAAGCAATTTGGCATTGGGACGACCAATCCTAATCTTTATAATTCTTTGTCAATTCGATAAGTAGCAATGCAATTTCTAAGTAGCCTTTCACAAATCTTCGATAGTAATTGCATAACCCAAGAAATAAACATACATCATATACAGTTATTGGTGGTTGCCAATCTTTGGTGGCTATAACTTCCTTCGAATCCATGCGAATTTTACCTTGTTCAATGATGTGACCCAAGAAACTGATAGATGTCTGAGTAAATGAGCATTTAGACGGTTTGGCATAGAGTTCATTTTCCCATAGCCGATTAAAAACTTGCCTCACATATTGGACATGTTCCTCCAATGTCTCGCTGTAGATTATTATGTCATCCAAGTACACAACAACAAAATCATCTAAGAACCCGTGAAGTACCTGATTCATCATAGTACAAAATGTTGCTGGAGCATTTGTCAAACCAAAAGGTATCTCTTTAAATTCAAAGGCTCCATATTTAGTTACCACCGTAGTCTTTGCTTCATCTCCCTCCTTGATCCGAACTTGCTAGCATTCGGACCTAAGATCAATTTTTGTGTACACTTCGCCCGACCCAGTCGATCAAAACAATCCGCAATCAGTGGGATAGGATAGCTATTCTTTACAGTAATCTTGTTCAAGGCTTGATAGTCACAGCACATTCTAAGAGAACCATCGACCTTTTTCTGAAACTACACAGGAGCTCCGTATGGTGACTTCGCAGGCATAATAATTCCACTCTCCAACATTTCTCCCAATTGCTTCCTAAGCTCTTCAAGCTCAGGCCGAGACATATGGTATGGTACCCTAGTGGGAGGTTTGGCACCTGAAATAAGTTCAATTTCATGATCAATCGTCTTTTTTAGTGGTAATTTCTTTAGTAATTCGTCTGGCATGATATCCTCAAATTTCCGAATAAGCCTTTTAACGGGTTTTGGAATAGGACCAGTCGCCTCTTCGATCTCCTCTAATTGAAGAGTGCACAGAAAAGAAAGTTCATTTCTCTTTAAACCCTTACTAAATTGCATGGCTGAAATACTCTTCTCACCCACCCTCCTAGCTTGTGTAAGGATGACACATGGCTTATTACCCATCATCATTAACGAATGAGTATAGCAACATTGCTATCTTAGTATCTCGAAGAAATTCCAATCCCAGAATAAGCTCGAAATCATCCATCTGAACTGCAGATAAATTTGTCCTTCCCTCGAAAGGATCTGTTTTGATCCACACCGATTTCGCCACTCCAGTTATTGGTTGAGCAGCGGAGTTGATTGCTTTGACTTTCCCACTACCCTTTTCCAGAACAAGTCCGAGTCGCTCTACTTCGATACATGAAAGGTACTTGTAGGTAGCACCAGTATCCACCATAGCCCTGATTGGCTTCCCGTTGATCTTCACATCAATGTACATTAAGCGTTTGGCCCTACAAATACGAGCTTTCGCTTCTTCCATCTTTGCCTCTTTCAAGGAGACATTATCCTTTTTAGCAACCCAATGCGACAGTGTGTTGTACCGATGTAAAAGTACCCCAACTACGTCCTCATCCTCTTCGGAGTTGGTCTTACCATGACAACTAGCCTGTGGGGCCTCTTGCTTTGAACTTGATCCGCCACTTGCTAGCTGACAATATGCATTCACCATCCATTTCTGAGGACGCTCTGACACCCAATAAGGTCCTTCGCATAAAAAGCACATCAATTTAGGAGTGGCATCAGTTTGACCCTTTGTTGCTTTTCCTTTGTTCCAGTTGTTACTGTTGCTGCCGTTATAATTTCCTTGACGGCTATTATGATAATTTCCCTGAAAACCACAGGTTCTTTGATAGGATCCTCCCTTATTTTGAGAGTAACGCTCTCCCCCATTTGAGTCCGAGCTGGGTCTGTAAAGTCTGTTACCACCTCCAATTGCTTGATTACTCCCCAAAGGTCGATCTTTTATAGATTCCATTTGGTAGTCGCTCAAACATTTGACAGCTCCCAAGGCCGCGCTCAAATCAGTAACCTTCTGTCTCTGAAGTTCCGTGCTTGTCCACGGTTTCAACCCTTACATAAAGGTGAAGAGCTTACCTTTTCCGACATATCTCGAATATTCAGCATATGACCTGAAAAGGCTTTCACATACTCCCTGATAGAGCTTGTATGTTTCAGGTCTCGAAGTGCCTGTCGAGCCTGATACTCGACATTTTTCAGAAAAAAATGCGATCTGATCGCTTCCTTGAGGAGATCCCCAGAATCTATTCGGACCTTGTTGGCCTGAATATCAGCATATTTGGTTCGCCACCATAGTTTTGCATCTCCACCTAGATACATAGTAGCTGTGGGTACCTTTCTAGCTTCGTCTTCAATCGAAGCTGCGAAAAAGTACTATTCCATGTCAAACAAGAAGTTTTCAACTTCTTTTGCATCACGTGCCCCTCCGTAGGTACACGGTTCAGGAATTCTGAGTCTAGAAGCATACTCAGGTACGGGAGCTTGCCCATTGCTCACTGCACGTTAAAGTACTCGTAATTAAGCTCTCAACGCTTCCATTTCATCCTGCATATCAAGAATGATTGCAACAGCTTCAGTTATTGCTGCGCAAGCCCTTTGGCTTTCATCCAGTTGGATGTGTCATCCACAAATCTCGGATTCTGCCATTTCGACTTTTTCCTCGAGATCGTCCACAGCATAGCACCATCTAGTAGTTGTCTCATCAAGCGCATCCACATGCTGTTTAGTAGTACTCTTCTTTTGAGGCTCTCCCACCTCAGTGGTGTGGGATGTAATTGGATCGATAGCTTTCTTATCGAGGGTTGTGAGCTGCAGCTCTGATACCAACTTTCGCGGGGTGTCTTTCTTTTTGGCACAAAAAGGAACACCGTGCAGAAGTGGTCTGCTCCGCTAGACTACCTTTCCCCTTTACTCGATCGCATCGGGACGAAAGAAAATTTAATTACAATTTTGTAGAAAGCTTACAACAGAAAATTTGAATACATTGAAAGAAAATTAAACATTGATTGATGAAAATTGAATATTATAATTGACGAAAGTAGAAAATTACAATTGCTAGTGCAGTGGGCGGACACTAGTGAGTTTGAAAGATTTTTAAATGACTAATACCCCCTATAATAGCATTCGAAACAAAAATCTAAGTGACAGGAGTAGACGTATAAATGACGAGGAATCATACATAACGTTTACTAATATCAGAGCTATTTTACAACTAAAATAACTATTACAATGAAAAGAAAATTACAACTCAAACTTGAATTAATATTGACAATGTGCGGCCGAAGTTGGGCAAACTGCGGCTGCGATAGTATCAAGGGGCTAAGTAAAGCTACGGTCCTTGACACCTAGTCTTGTGCACAACACATGGATTGACATCATATGCCTTAACAGAATCTACCTGTTGGGTTTATGGACGGTGGTGTCGAGTGTCGAGGTGGGTTTTCCCCTTAATTTTGTTTTTCATCAACTAGACATAATCATGGTTACATGGTAACAAATTCAAGTGTGAACAATCAATCAGGATCCTTCACAAGATGTAAGAACCTGAAGCTTGATTTTGGTCAAAGCAGCTAAGGCATCTGTCATTTTCAATCTCTCCAAGGTAGACTCTGCGGGGCAATTCAAAGCCAACTCCATGATGGATGCTATGCAATGCAGCTTTTCATTCAAGTGTTTTTCTTCAAGTTTCAGTATGTTAGGGTCTACTACCTGATGTAATACATCAGGTAATGAATCCTTCACCCATCGCCTTAGGCTGAAATCTCCAGCAAACATTTCGTCACTTGGCCTTTTTCTTGTAAAAGTTTCCATCAACATTATTCCATAGCTATAAACATCGCACCTTGTGGATACTAGCCCTTCTGTTCCATACTCTAGAGAAATATATATAGACTTGATATGTGACATAAAAAGAAGGCAAAATATTGAAATCTCTTCTTCATGGCCAAATAAAAGAAGTCTACATTAAAGTTTTTAAAGTTTTTTATTTATTTTTTATTAAATGTCTTCAGTTGTACTAAAAGGTAAATTTTGGCTTAATAGAAAAGGCATTCACTGCCCCCTTCCGGTTCTTTCTCGGGAGAAACATTGCAAGGAGTTGATGCGGTGGTGGGAGTGGAGATATTTTATAGGTGAAGCTTCTTTGCATAGTTTTGAAAATTGATACCTGTTTTTCATTTTGACTCTCAAAATAGGTCCTTACTGGAGAATAATCTCCAGAAAATAATTCACATTAATAGAGAAGAGAAGAATGACACCAGATTTTAAAGTTGGAAGATTCACCTGGTGCAATATAACCGAATGTAGCAAGAGTCTTGGTATGCACTGCAGTTTCTTCTCCCAGAAATTTTGTCATCCCAAAATCAGAGACATGTCCAACCAAATCTTTGTCCAGCAAAACATTGCTAGGCTTCAAATCGCAGTGAGCTACAGGCACTGAGTAGCCGTTGTGGAGATATTCCAGTGCAGTTGCAACATCGATCATTATATTTAACCGTCGAAGAAATTTTAAGTTAAGGTTGTCTGAATACAACCACTTCTCCAGGCTACCATTAGGCATATACTCAAGCACCAGAGCTTTGAATTCAAGATTAGAGCAACTTCCAATGACTTTTGTGAGATTTCGATGGCGAAGATTGCGCAGAACTTCGCATTCACTGTCGAAATTCTTGAACCCACCTTCTGATTGCAAATTAAATACTTTTACTGCTGCAGACACGCTATTTGGGAAACTGGCTTTGTAAACCGAACCAGAACTACCCGAACCAAGCAAGTTGCTTTCGTTGAACCCATTTGTTGCATTTAGAAGATGATGGTATGGAATTCTTTTGGGAGCAATTTCAGGTGATGAATAAGAGTGAGCTGGATTATTTCTCCTTTGTCGTCTTATTATGATATATACAAAAGCCAAAGCAAGAATTGTTGATGAAATCACCACGGGAATAAGTATCACTAGAAGAAGCTTTTTCCTTTTTGACCCATGAGAAGAACTACGACGACATGGAGGGATATCATGCAACTGAGTACCACATAAGGCTTCGTTTGACATGAAAGACTGATATGTGAAATTCTTGAAGGGTCCTCCAGTGGGAATTTCTCCCCTTAATCTGTTGGACGATACATTCAAGAACTTCAATTGTCGTAGTTTCTCAAAAGACTTGGGAATCATACCTGAGAGATTGTTATTGGATAAATCCAATAATTCTAAATCTATCAAGTCTCCAATTGACTCTGGCATAGATCCTTGGAATCCATTTCTTGCCAAAGTTAGATTGATCAAGTTCTGTAGACTCCCAATGGTGCCCGGAATTTCTCCTTTGAACTGATTCGAAGAAAGATCTATATTGATTGCAGCTTCAAGATTTTTAACTTCTTCAGGTATAGAGCCAGTAAAGGAATTTGAAGACAGGTTCAGAGTCAAGAGATTTTTCAGGTTCCACAGGCTTGAAGGTAGACTAGAATTCAATCTATTAGAATTCAAATAAATCTCTCTTAAAGATAGAACATTTCCTAAGCACTCTGGAATTTGACCCGAGATTTCAGTTTGATTCAATTGTAATATTCCCAAATTAGGTAATTCACAGAAACAGTTTGGAAAGGGTCCTCCAATTTTGTTATTGGTGAAAGACAATCGCTGAAGCTTTCTTAAACCTTGAAATGTTATTGGAAGGGGCCCAATCAAGTTATTTTCAGACAAATCTAATAAAACTAAATTGCTTAAATTTCCAATTTCTTCTGGAATTCTTCCCTTGATCTTACATTCAGAAGCATAAATATTTTCTAAAGAAGAAGACAGGTTCCCTAAAGACCCTGGAAGAAAGCTGTCTAAAGGATTATTGTTTATTATCAAGTACCTCAAATATTTGCAATTTGTCAATGAAGTAATCAGACTCAATTCTGGAGATGACGGTTCAACTGTCAAACTGTTTCGAGCTAAGTTTAGAAACTCAAGGTTTTCCAGGCGCCCCAGGGAGTTTGGGATCGGACCAGTAAATTTATTAAGACGAAGAGATAGAACAGTAAGTTTGGATGCATTTGAGATGGAAGGGGGTATGATTCCACCTATATTATTTAGGTTCAGTTTAAGCTCTTTAAGATTCGGTAGCCTATTACCCAAATCCAATGGAAGATAGCCTGAAAGATCATTACTTGTAAATCCAATCTCGTTTAATGTTGAGATGTTGAATAATCCTGGAGGTATGGAACCGTTTAAACTATTGTACGAGAAGTAGGTTTCTTCCAATTTATGAAGACTGCTTACCTCTTGCGGTATTAAACCTGCCAAATCACAAAACAAAGAATTCAAGCATTAAAAGGACCTTCAATGTCTAACAAGAAAATAACGTGCATGTTTGATACAACGTGTTGGGCAAAAGTCCTCTGATGCTCCAACTCTTTGAAATAGTTAGAATACCAGTATCAGACACGAGAATAGGTAAAGGATACATGTCAGATCATCCAAGTTTCAACCGAACACTTCTTCTTCTTTTTTCTTTTCCTTTTCCTTTTCTTTCCCTTTTCTTTTTTCTCGTTTTCGCTCCCTATAAATCTAGCGTCGCCGCTGAGAGAGTGGAGAAAGGTGGCGGCGTTAGGTTTTACCTTCTTTTTCTTCTTCTTTCTTTTTTCTTTCCTTTTTTTTTTTTTTTTTCTTTTTTTTTTCTTTCCTTTTTTTTTTTTTTTATCCTTCTTTCCCTCTTTGTATCATTAGTTTAGGCTCTTGTTTGTATGTGTTAGGAAAATGTTGTAACTGGCAATCTGTGACCAAAAGGACTAATTTGTCGAGTTTGTAAAGTCAAGGACCAATTTGTCAATGTCTAAAAGTTCAGGGACTTGTGTTTCAATTTCGCAATAATTAATGTATAGGTCTAGGGTAAAGTTGGATGCTTTGAAGATGAAAACGGCGCAAGATTGGTGCTAGAGTTTTGCCCTGACCTCGCTCGAGCCTAAATAACAGAACCTGCGTCGCTGGAGTTTCGCCACCACTTCCCTCGAGCGAGAGTGCGTCGCTAGAGTTTCGCCGGCACTTCGCTCAAGCGACAGTGTCATCCGACGTTTGGTAATTTTCCTTCCTCGCGAATTTTAAACGCTCCATACTACCAAAAACGACCTACTATATAAACAAAAATTCCGCTTTTCATTAACAAGTTTTTGCAAAACACATAGCACAATATTTTCCTCTCTACCAAAGGATCGATTGCAAAACTCTTCACCATATGGTTCATTGAAGAAAAAAAAATATCAAACACCTTTTCAAACAAAACACCTATCAAAAATCCTCACTACTTCCAGAAGATCAGTTGATTGAAGATCCGAGAAGGAGGTTGATTGAAGAACTAGAGTTCTTGTTGATTCACGGGAAGTAGAAGAAATACAAGGCTGGGATTTTGGCGCAGATCTGTAGAATCCAGGAGAGCTTTGGTTGATACAGTAAGGAGGTCAGAGTGTTGTTAGATACAGTCATGTCTGGCATACTGTAAGTTGGAGTCTTCTATAGTGAATCCCTACTGGCTTGTGCCCGGAGTTTTTACCCAATTGGGTTTTCTCCGTCAACAATTTTTGTGTTATTTATTGCTTTCTGTCAATTTCAATTCAATCGGCAATTCAACATAGGTAGTTAAATCATTAATTTATGTGACTTGTTGCATAACTTAATTAAATTGTTAAATTCCGCATAGACACCTATTCACCCCCTCTAGGTGTTGGTTAGGTCAAACTATAGCCTTTTCAAGTGGTATCAGAGCCAAATCTCAAGTCCTGACCCATAGTTGTCTAGATGAGTCAATCACTTTCTGTACCTCCGTACTTTGACGGAAGTAATTATGCTTACTGGAAGGTTAGAATGCATGCGTTTCTTAAGTCCTTAGATGAACATGTTTGGTTGAGTGTACAAAATGGCTGGAAACCTCCATCCACTATCGTATCAGGAACTGTTAACCTTACTGATATATCACTGTGGACTAAGGATGAGATAGCTGGGTGTAATTGGAATAGCAAGGGACTTCATGCCTTGTTTATGGCCGTGTCTCCCGAAGAGTTTAGGAGAGTGTCAATGTGCGAAACTGCTAAAGAGGTGTGGGATATTCTTGAAACTACACATGAAGGAACTAAAACGGTAAAAAACTCGAAATTACAAATGCTAGCTTCTAGGTTTGAAGAAGTGAGGATGAAAGATGACGAAACCTTTGATGAATTTTATGCAAAATTGAATGATATTGTTAATTCTAGTTTCAATTTAGGCGAGAAAATTCCCGAGTCTAAAATTGTTAGAAAAGTATTTAGGTCCTTGCCCGAGAGATTTAGGCCTAAAGTTACTGCCATTGAGGAAAGTAAGGATCTAGATGAAGTTAAAATTGAAAAACTTGTAGGATCCTTGCAAACTTATGAACTCACTATCACACAACCTAAGAAAGGAAAGTTCATTGCTTTAAAATCCATCAAAGAGGATGAATCTTCCGATACTGAGTCTCTGAGGGACGATGAAATTACTTACTTTGTGAAGAAATTTCAAAAGGCTCTCAAGAATAGGAGAAAGCCTCAGGATAGAAAAATGGAGTCCCTAGCAGATTCTCAAAAGAAAAAACTGAAAGGTTTAACAATAAAAGTTCTAGTGATAAACCACGTTTGGTTAGGTGCCATGAATGTCAAGGTATAGGTCACTATAGGAATGAGTGCCCTAGTTATAAGAAGAATCAAAGAAAAGGGCAGGGTAAGGCCTTAGTTGTTTCACTTACTGATAACGAGTCTGAGACCAGTGATAGGCAGGAGTCATCTAGTAGTGAAGATGAAGGGAACTATATGGCATTTGTGTCGACTATTAAGAGTGAATCTGATAAGGAGAGTGACAAGGTTGAGGAAGAACTTCACAACAATAATTCTAGTAATGAGGATGAGGATGACATAGACATACATGAGGCCTATCAACTCTTGTTCAAAGAGAGTCTTAAAATCAAAAAGATCAATAAAGCCCTACTCAAAAAGGTTGATGAACTTGAAAGAGAAAAAGAGAGACATGCTAGTAATCTCCAGAATTCACTTAAGAGTGTCAGTGAGTTAAAATGTGTCAATGAGAAGTTAGAAGACAAGGTTAAGACATTAACTAGTGAATTTGAGAAATCTAATGCTCATCTTCAGACTTTCATAAGTGGAACTAAGAAATTGGATGATATTTTGGGAATGAATAAGCCTACGGGAGATAGGAAAGGTCCAGGATATGTTGAGGGTAATACACATGGTGTTGGTCCATCTAAAACTGTATTCATTTCCGCCTCTAGGAAGTCTAACGCTGTCAACAGTCCAAATAAGGGTAAGAATGTTTCGAGGGAACAAAGTCATCAATCACGTAGAAATTTTATGCCCAAACACCCACAGACACGTACCTTTGAGCCTAGGTTCAGTCCCACCTGTCACCACTGTAGAGCTCTAGGACACACAAGGCCTAGATGTTATAAGTTAGGCAATGAGCGTAGAAATCAGAATATTCCAAGTCAGGTCAGTTTTCTGACTAATCAGGTTAGTCATTTGACTGAGATGCTTACTAGGCTGACTAGGAGTACCACGTCATCTAAGAAAGTTTGGGTTAAAAAGGAGGATCTAGCTGGACTTTCAGGTCAGGTAAATTGCTATGTTGCTCATGTTGCATTAAAAGCCCAAGATTTCAATATGTGGTGCCTTGATAGTGCTTGTTCTAGGCATATGTGTGGTAACAAAGCTTTATTCACTACTCTTGATGAATGCAATGGGGGTATGGTTACCTTTGGAGATGGGGGCTCTGCACCTATTCTTGACAAAGGTACCGTACAAATACATGGATTACCTGTGATCTCAAATGTGCTTTATGTGGAAGGTTTAAAGTCAAACTTGTTAAGTATTAGTCAGATTTGTGATGCTGATTTTGAGATTAGCTTTGTGGAAAAGAGATGTACCGTGTATGATTCATTCGGTGGGGTGGTCCTTGAAGGGGTTAGAACGTCTGATAACTGTTATGGAGTCCTACCTAATTCTAACTATGTGTGTAGGAGTGCAAAAATTGATGTGAGTGAACTCTAGCATAAAAGATTGGGTCATTTAAACTATAAGAGTCTAGTACAACTGGCTAAAAAAGAGTTGGTAGATGGTTTGCCTAAAATAGGTCCTAGTGAAAATGTTGTGTGTGGACCATGTCAACTGGGCAAACAAATTAAAGGAATCCATAAAAAGACTTCTAAAATTTTGACCAAAAGACCCTTGGAATTGATACACATGGATTTAATGGGACCATCTAGGGCTAAGAGTCTAGGAGGTAAGCGGTATATTCTGGTTGTGGTAGATGATTTCTCGAGGTTCACATGAGTAGAATTGCTTAGGGAAAAATCTGATGCATGTGACCTTATAAAATCTTTGTGTAAACGACTTAGTAATGAACTCAATCAGAAAGTGTCCAGAATGCGAAGTGATCATGGAAAAGAGTTTGAAAATTTCAATCTTGAGAGCTTCTGCATGGATGAAGGGATACTACATGAGTTCTCTTCCCCTATCACTCCTCAACAAAATGGGGTAGTTGAAAAGAAGAATCGTGTTCTTCAGGACATGGCTAGAGCCATGCTTCATGACAAGGGGCTAGCCTTACATTTTTGGGGAGAAGCTGTTAATACTGTATGCCACATAATCAATAGAGTCTACCTTAGACCCAAAATCGATCAGACTCCATATGGAATTCTAAAGGGTAAAAAGCCTACTGTCAAATACTTTCGTGTGTTTGGGAGTAAGTGCTACATTTTGCGTGATAGAGAGAACTTGAGTAAGTTTGAATCTAAGAATGACGAAGGAATCTTCTTAGGGTATTCTAGAAATAGTCGAGCATTCCGAGTATATAACTCACGTACTCGTACTGTGATGAAGTCAGTCAATGTTGTGATAGATGATGGTGTGAGTGAGGGGGAGAATGTTGAAAATTATGATAGAAATGGTAATCTTATAAGGTCTAGTGATCCTACTGAACCGCTTGTGCCTAAATCATCTCTTAAAATTCCTGAAACTCCTGAAAAGGAAACACATCCACAAGATCAAGACACAATCCCTAAGGAACCATCAACTAGGGTCAAGTCTAATCATCCTAAGGATAATATCATTGGGGATCTGGATGAAGGTATGAGGCTTCATAAGAGAGTACTGAACAATCTAGCATATACTAGCTATGTTTCACAGGTAGAGCCTAAGAAAGTCGAAGAGGCCCTTAGTGATGAGTGTTGGGTGAATGCAATGCATGAGGAACTCAATCAATTTGCTAGAAACAATGTGTG